TTTGCATTCTTTTCTTTTCAGTATATACCTGCTATGGAATTGTTGGGTCATAGGATGGATATATGTTTAACTTTAATAGTTATTGCCAGTTTTCCCAAAGTGGTTCAAGCAAATTACATTTCTACCAGCAATGAGAGTTTGTATTGCTCCACACCCTGGCCAACACTTAGTATGTCATGTTCTTACTAATTTTAGCTATTCTAGTGGGTTTATATGTTGGTAACTCCTGGTTTTAATTTGCATTCCCCTGGTGAATTATCTTGAACATCTTTTCATATGTTTGTAGTCATTTGAGTATCTTTTGTGACCTATACTTGTTTAATCTTTTCACCCATTTTTTTTTTTAAATCCTTACCCGACGATATTTTTTCCATTGATCTTTAAAGAAAGAATGGGAGGGAGGGAGTAGGAGGGGAGAGGGAGAGAGAAAGAAACATTGATGTGAGAGAGACATATCAAGTAGTTGCCTTCTGCACGCATCCCAACCAGGGCCTGGGATCGAACCTGCAACTGAGGTATGTGCCCTCGACCGGGAATCAAACCCCAACCCTTTGGTCTGCGGGCTGATGCGCTGAGCCAAATTGGCCAGGGCATTTTCACCCATTTTTTAAATTGGGTTGCTTGCTTTTTCTTATTGAGTTGTCAAATACATCTAATACAAATGTCTTCTCCCAGTGAGTGGATTGCCTGTTTTCTTTGCTTACAATGCCTTTTGATAAGGAGAAGTTTTTAATTTTTTTAAAAATATATTTTATTGATTTTTTTACAGAGAGGAAGGGAGATAGAGAGTTAGAAACATCGATGAGAGAAAAACATCGATTAGCTGCCTCCTGCACATCTCCCACTGGGGATGTGCCCGCAACCCAGGTACATGCCCTTGACCGGAATCGAACCCGGGACCCCTCAGTCCGCAGGCCGACGCTCTATCCACTGAGCCAAACCGGTTTCGGCAGAAGTTTTTAATTTTAATGTAGTCTAATTAATAAAATTTTTTATGATTATTGCTATTTTTAAAATTTTTATTTCATTTAATTGATTTCAGAGAGAGAGGGAAGGAGTGCTTGTGAGAAACATCGATTTGTTGTTCTATTTTTTTATACATTCATTGGTTAGTTCTTGTATTTGCCCTGACCAGGGTTTGAACCCACAACCTTGCCATATCAGGATATGCTCTAATCAACTGACCTACCTGGCCAGGACTGGTTATTTGCTATTTTTTCATTCTGTTTAAGAATTTGTCATCAACCCTGAGGTCATGACGATAGTATTTTTTAAAGAAACTTTTATTGTTTTGCTTTTCATATTCTAGGTCAATGTTACTTCTAATTTTTGTGTATGGTATGAGATAAGAGTCAAGGTTAACTTTCTCCCCTATCTAGTTGCTTCCAGCACCATTTGTTAAAAAGACCATACTTTGTACCTGAGTTTCACTTGAGCATTTGTCATAACTTAAGCATTTGGAGTTTTTGTTTGTTTGGTCTATCCTTGAAGTGACACATTATCTTAATTACTGTAGTTTGTCCTTCAACTTTATTTTTCTTTTAAGATTATCTTGGTTGTTCTAGGTCCTTTGCATATCTATATTTGTAGAATTGGCTTCTCAATTTCTATACACATGTGGATGCATCTGCTAAGATTTTGATTGCATCAAATTTATAGATCATTTGAGGGAGAATTGATATCTTAGCACTTTTGAGTCTTCTAAACCATGAACATGGACTATTTCTCCATTTATTTATGTCTTTAATTTATCCTGAATGTTTTGTAGTTTTCAATGTAGAGGTCTTACACATTTTTTCATTAGATTTATTACTAGATATTTTTTGGTGTCTGATATTTTTTTTTTGACAATGAAAGAAAAATTTTGAAGTTTGTGTTAACCATGACAATAAAAATGTAATAAATGAATTTTAATTAAATTGTTTGCAGAAGTACAGTTGGAAACCACTAAAACATATGTATGTAATGTCTTATTTTCTTATTCATTCTTTTTTTTTTTAAAATATATTTCTTTATTGATTTCAGAGAGGAAGGGAGAAGGAGAGAGATATAGAAACATCAATGATGAGAGAGAATCATTAACCGGCTGCCTCCCGCACACCCCCTACTGGGGAACAAGCCTGCAACCCAGGCATGTGCCCTTGACCGGAATCGAACCTGGGACCCTTCAGTCCCGCAGGCTGACGCTCCATCCACTGAGCCAAGCCGGCTAGGGCTTCTTATTCATTCTTTAGTTTAAAAAATTAAGTGGCACTTAAAAAATAAAAAGTTTGAGAAGGCTTCTAAATGTTTTTGAGATTTATCTCAAAATTTATCTCAAGATTTAAAATGCACAGATCTTAAGTGTGCAGTTAGGTGAGTTTTTTTCCTATCTACCCATGTAGCTACTATCTAGATCATGATATAGGATATTTTCAGTAGCTTTAAGCCTCTTCCCAGTCAGTCCTACATCCTTCCTCATAGGTAACCCTATTGAGTAACCCCATGAGAAGGCTTTGCTTATACACATTTTGTGTTATTATTTGAAACTGAAGTGATTGCTTTTGAATTATTATCAGTGGGTTTTTTATATTAAGCAGAAATAATAGATAGTATTGTTTTCTGGGTGTTGTTAATTGGGGTTAATCTATGACATTTATATTATACCAGGAGGACTGTACTCTTTCACTTCATGGGAGGTATAGTTTGAGCTGTGTTATAAGGTTGTATGATAAGAAACTCACCAGTCAGGTGTTTGGTAATTAATTGCTTTAGTGAATATTGCTTTTGATTGACCTTTTTCTTTAACTTTCAAATAGGTATATTTAGTGGTTGTAGCACAGTAGATTTAACTATCTCCAGCAAATATCTACTTTTAGGGTTGATAGTAATAGGGTGAAAAGTTGGGAAACTGAAGTTGGGAAAAAAATGAAATGAAAAAGTGGGAGAGATTGGCTTCCTAGCAAGCTAATTTTATTTATTTATTAAGTATATTTTTATTGATTTCAGAGAAGAAGGGAGAGGGAGAAGAGATAGAAACATCAATGATGAGAGAGAATCATTGATTGGCTGCTTCTTGTGTGCCCCACACTGGGGATTGAGCCTGCAACCCGGGCTTATGGTGTGACTGGGAATCAAACCGTGACCTCCTCGGTCATAGGTCAACACTCAACCACTGAGCCATGCTGGCTGGGCCCTAGCAAGCTAATTTTATATAAGTTATGAATCTGGCACATATTAGACACTCAGTAATATAGTGGTGACTGAGCCACAACGTCCAGTCATAAACTGAAGGTCAGGAAAGATGCCTACTTGTTTTTCAAAAAGTACTAGTTGTTTCCTGTTGTTAGTATTTTCTTCTCCAGTGGCGTAGTTGAGGAACACACATAGAGGCACAATATGCACACACACACACACACAATTTTTTAATAGTTATTGATTTTTAGAGAGAGAGGAAGGGAGAGTATAAAATCAGCTGCCTCCTGCATGGCCCCTACTGGGGATTGAGCCGGCAACTCAGGCAGGTGCCCTGACTGGGAATCAAACTGTCAACCTTTCGATGCACAGGAGGACACCCAACCAACTAAGCCACATCGGCCAGGGCTATACATATATATTTTTTAAACTTTTAAATTGGAGTATAACGCCCTGGCCGGTTTGGCTCAGTGGATAGAGCGTTGGCCTGCAGACTCAATTCGATTCCGGTCAAGGGCATGTACCTTGGTTGCGGTCACATCCCCAGTGGGGAGTGTGCAGGAGGCAGCTGATCGATGTTTCTCTCTCATCGATGTTTCTAACTCTCTATCCCTCTCCCATCCTCTCTGTAAAAAATCAATAAAATATATTTAAAAAATTGGAGTATAACATAGAGAGACAAATACATAAAAGTACATATTTACAAAGTCCCCTTTGTGCTTCCTGTCATTCATTACCTCTTCCTAAAGGTAACCAGTATCCTGACTTCTGACACTACAGATAAATATGTAAATGTAATAATACAGTATGTACTATGTTCTATTGACTGCTTATACTCAGCATCATGTTTATGTGATCCATCCATTTTGTTGTGGGAGCAGTAATTGTTTCATTCTCTTCGCTGTATTAGAGTACGTATAATATTTGGTTAGCTTAGATAATCCTAGGGCAAAGTTATCTGCTTAAATACTTTTCTCTCTAAAGCAGTTTCTAACACAGTGTAACCTTAGAGATTGGGTGGCTTTCTTTCTGACTTACTGAGAGAAGCTGGTACCTGGGGGATACTGGGAAGGAGGAACATGCACATGGCCGTGCTCTTAAGAGCTAGTGTATCAGGATTTACCCCAGCATGTAACTGAGGCCGCCGGGTTTGGAAGGCGCGATTCAAGAGGGATTTAAGCAGCCTAGAGCTCCAGAGGGGGAAAAGGAGCTCGGCTTAACCACAGAGATGACTTAACCTTTTGCCTAATTAAATATATATATTAAAGCAGTGGTCGGCAAACTGCGGCTTGCGAGCCACATACGGCTCTTTGGCCCCTTGAGTGTGGCTCTTCCTAAGCCTTAGGAGTACCCTAATTAAGTTAATAACAATGTACCTACCTATATAGTTTAAGTTTAAAAAATTTGGTGCTCAAAAGAAATTTCAATCGTTGTACTGTTGATATTTGGCTCTGTTGACTAATGAGTTTGCCGACCACTGTATTAAAGAGCTAGTGTATCAGTGTGGTAGTAAAGAAGTTACATATCTCCATTTCCTCTATCTGAAATTTATTTACTTTTGCTAGTAGAAAGTTGGTGATGTTTTGAAAAGTGTATATGCTTTAGTAGTAACACTAATAGCTCACGTTTATTGAGCTCATACTAGTTACAGGTTCTATGCATAGTGCTTACTTAAATTACCTGGTTTTATTTTCACCAAAAATAATGTTTTATTAATATTCTGTAGATTGAAGTTTTGGTCAGTACAAATGAATCCATTCTTTAAATTTATCTTTAAATTTATGTGGCCTCCATTTTCTAACTGTTGTTCTTTTCATGAATAATAGGTATGTCATTGATGGTGCCACTGCTCTATGGTGTGCAGCAGGAGCAGGACATTTTGAAGTTGTTAAACTTCTAGTCAGTCATGGAGCCAACGTGAACCATACTACAGTAACTAACTCGACCCCTCTGCGGGCAGCTTGCTTTGATGGCAGACTGGACATTGTGAAATACTTGGTTGAAAATAATGCCAACATCAGTATTGCCAACAAGTATGACAACACCTGCCTAATGATTGCAGCATATAAGGGACACACTGATGTGGTCAGATACCTTTTAGAACAACGCGCTGATCCCAATGCTAAAGCACATTGTGGAGCCACAGCATTGCACTTTGCAGCTGAAGCTGGGCACATAGATATTGTGAAAGAGCTGATAAAATGGCGTGCTGCTATAGTAGTGAATGGCCATGGGATGACACCATTAAAAGTGGCTGCCGAAAGCTGTAAAGCTGATGTCGTCGAACTGTTGCTCTCTCACGCTGATTGTGACCGAAGAAGTCGGATTGAAGCTTTGGAACTCTTGGGTGCCTCCTTTGCAAATGACCGTGAGAACTATGACATCATGAAGACATACCACTATTTATATTTAGCCATGTTGGAAAGATTTCAAGATGGTGATAACATTCTTGAGAAAGAGGTTCTCCCACCAATCCATGCTTACGGGAATAGAACTGAATGTAGAAATCCTCAGGAACTGGAATCCATTCGGCAAGACAGAGATGCTCTTCATATGGAAGGCCTTATAGTTCGGGAACGGATTTTAGGTGCTGACAATATTGATGTTTCCCATCCCATCATTTACAGGGGAGCTGTCTATGCAGATAATATGGAATTCGAACAGTGTATCAAGTTGTGGCTTCATGCCCTGCACCTCCGACAGAAAGGTAACAGGAATACCCACAAGGATCTTCTTCGATTTGCTCAAGTTTTCTCACAGATGATACATTTGAATGAAACGGTGAAAGCGCCAGATATAGAATGCGTTTTGAGATGCAGTGTTTTGGAAATAGAACAAAGTATGAACAGAGTAAGAAATATTTCAGATGCTGATGTCCACAGTGCTATGGACAATTATGAATGTAATCTCTACACCTTTCTGTATTTAGTGTGCATCTCCACCAAAACACAGTGCAGTGAAGAAGATCAGTGCAAAATTAACAAGCAGATCTACAACCTGATTCACCTTGATCCCAGAACTCGGGAAGGTTTCACCTTGCTGCATCTAGCTGTCAATTCGAATACCCCAGTTGATGATTTCCACACCAATGATGTTTGCAGCTTTCCAAATGCACTTGTCACCAAGCTCCTGCTGGATTGTGGTGCTGAGGTAAATGCTGTGGACAATGAAGGGAACAGTGCCCTTCATATTATTGTTCAATACAACAGGCCCATCAGCGATTTTTTGACCTTGCACTCTATCATCATTAGCCTAGTTGAAGCTGGCGCTCACACTGACATGACAAATAAACAGAATAAGACTCCGCTAGACAAAAGTACAACTGGGGTATCTGAAATACTACTTAAAACTCAAATGAAGATGAGTCTCAAGTGCCTGGCTGCCCGAGCAGTTCGGGCTAATGACATTAACTACCAAGACCAGATCCCCAGAACTCTTGAAGAATTTGTTGGATATCATTAAGTGACTGGATATGTAAAATTGTTTAATGTGGTGCTAAAAAGTAAAGAACTTTAATCACAGACAATAGAATTATGTGTTCATAAATTCTACTTTTCTTTCCATTACCCTTTCTCCCTACCCATCCTTCCTTAGTTCTGTATTTGGTCTTCTAGCCTCATATGGTAATTGATTTCAAATACACTTTAAACAAAGCCACATTGTTTAGGTGTAACTAATCTGAGGTGTTTGAATATTGGTCACTTTAACTACTTTTCTTTCTTTTTTTTTTAAGGAATGAATATAAAATGTTTTGTTTATGTAACAGAGAACATTTCTAATTTGAAGTTGATAATGTTTGAAAAAATTGCCTACAAAAGTATTTCTGTTAAGCCTTTGTTAGCATGTTATTCTTGTAGCAGTTCTGAGGATTTCATGAAGAAAAACAACTAAAAGTGAACATTAAAAGTAATGGGATACCCAGGTGTTCTGCACATGCCAAACTGCTGTAGGTAGTTTTCACTCTTCCATTAATTATGTGGAGTGATACAGCACATTGTAACATCAGGAGGATTTAAAAAAATATACTGCAGATTAATCTGAAAAATATGCTAACTTAATAATAGTTATACATTTATAAAGTTAAATCAATTGAAATTATTGCATTATGCTGGGTGGTATATACCAAGTAGTAATAATCTTAAAGTGACATTTCAGAAAATATTGATGGACTGTTTGCCTTTAGGCTTTGAATTCTAAAATTCTTTGAAGTCTCTGTTTTAATGTAGTTTATCTAAATTGCAGCAGTCTGCATTTGACTCAGCTCACAAATATGTAAAAATTATGAATGCTGTGTTTTCTTATGAAACAAATTGTCACATATAGTTACACATTCTATTTTTTTTTTTCTTTCCTCCTGTGTGGTAACTTTTAAATTTGGAAACTACTTTTCTAGCAGGCATTATTTGTGCCTCCCTATTAAGGTGTGTATGATAGATGAAAGGAACCAGGATCTTTTTAAATTTTTTTTTCACTTTATTTAGTCTGTGATAAGTAGAAAAAAATCACTAGTGTGGTATAGGGAATTAAATATTTTTGATGATGAAAAGAATTTGCAATGCCACTTTGAAAGATAGTTCTGTTTGAGAGCTGCACATTTTTCAACCACAAAATGTCACTTATTCCGACAGGTTGTACAGAGGTTTTTATGTTTTTTGTTTTGTTTTGCTTTAATGGCAACATTTTAAGTGTAAGACTAAAAGATTGATCTGTGATTATCTTTTAAGCATCACAGAAATTCAAGCAAAGCATACACACCTATTTTTATTGATGTTAAAAATGAGAAAGAAAGTAAAATTAGCTATATCTGTATTTTTCTCTCTAGTGCCAAATGAATGCCTTAGCTATTCATAGTGCATGGTACTGTAAGTGAAGACCTACAGCTTTTTTGTTTCTTTCATGAAAAGCATTATAATGATGTAGCAACATCAGATATAAACTTAAAACCTGTAAGGTTTCAATTAACATTTTATGTATGGAAATTGCTTTGTGAAGTATAAGAGAAAGGTTGCAGTTGGATCAGTATAAAACATAATGACCAAGCCAAAATCAGCACCTAGGGCCTTAAATAAAATAGCGATACCCCACAAAATGAAACACTTTGAAGGGTGGGAGGGAATGGAAAGGGGGAACTTAAAGAGCTTTTCCCCCAAGAATGCAAGATACTTTTACAGCTACTGTAGTTATACTTCGTGTGTCTTCTTGCTTCAGTTAGGAATGTTTTGATGGTTAATTCTGTCATGGTAATATATTTCTGTTTTTCTAACCTGAGTTTTTACAAGGAAGATTGGTTTAAAGGGAGGTATTTGAATGAATCCTAATTTGAAAATTACCGGCCTTGATCCCCCTGGTGTGAGTCAAGGAAATACTGAACCTTGCTCTTGGCAACTGTAATGGACTGACAGAGAAAATGCCCATCCTCAAGGTGAGTGAATCACACCATTCTACAGCTCAGATCAGACCCTGCGTTTTTCAGACTTCAAGGCCTGCTTATTGACAGTCTGAGGAATGGCTGTGATACATGGTATTCATTTGGTTTCATTATTAATGTATATGATTTTAAACACCAAAACTTCAAATATCAGATAATGTTGCATGTTTTAAAAATCATGTCGTCCCTTTGGCTACCCAGGACCAGCACTCTTAGATATTGCTTATTTGTAAAATGAAGATAATGATATGTGTACATATTCACACATCAAAATTTAATGATGCTGTTTTTGAGAAGGGAGGACTGAATGCTGGAGAAAGTAAAACTGCTGATTGAAATGCTGACAAAGTTGGAGAAAATTTGAAGACAGTGGACTAAACTATGAACTCTGCTGATGGTAACTGAGATTTTTTTTACTATAGTATAGAAGCACATGTGTACTACATTGCTAAGGACCTGATTCTGTCTTGTAAAATCAGATATGTTTTGTGAAACACCTGTATAAAACCATTCTTGAAACGCGATCTACATGCCTGTTTTTTATTTGTTTTTGGTAGAATTTAAAATATGTTTAGCCAAACCCTTCCCAAACTTAAGTTTATTTGTTTTTGATTTTTTTTTTTTAAGGAAAATAGGTAAAGAAAGGTGATAGTTCTGTATCTCAGCTCTCTGAGAACTCTAGACTGTCTCCATTTTCCAGCTACTTTTGTCATTTTATGTTTCTTATTGGTAGGATTAAGCTTTGGATTGTAAGTCTTCCTTGGTAGCATTACAAATTCAATCAAAACTTCTTTGTCTTGCTCATAACTGTCATGTAAATTTGGTTGACCTAGAGGCCCAGGTGGATGAATGCCTGGGCAAACCATGTGAAACTTGCTTGGTTTTGTGCTTTTAGTAGAGTTGGTAAAATGGGTTTTTGAGGTTAGGTAACTAACTCAAGAGACGGGCAGCAAATTCATCCCGATTGATAAAGACGGGGGACATTTTTGACATAGAATTATGACACAACATCGTTTTTTTCAGTTTACTTTGGTTGCACAGTCCCACTACCGTAAGGTTCTTTGCTGTGAGAACTTCAAACAAATTCAAAAGCAAGCTTTGGTCTTGCTTATTTCTGGGAAGGGTTTTATTTCGTGATACTAATTGTTGATTAATAAGTGGTAATCATGAGAAACTTAGGTGTGATAGCACTGTGTGAAGTAAAATATGATTTGGGGGCAGTGGATCCCTAAATAACTGCATTTGGCAAGTGTTTTTGAAAATTGAAATCCCAAGGGAACAACACTCTGTCATTGCATTTGAGGCAGCTCCTTATGAATAAGACCATTTTGGATTATTCAGGTAGAGCATTTGGGTGAGGAATGAGTTGCTTGACCTTGGATTACAGTTTGCTGGTTTTAGAAGCAGCCAGTGATTAAACTAGTGAGTAGATGGATAAAAGTGTAACGACTTGTTTTTATGGTAGATTTTCTGTAAAAGTCGTAAATGTTCCTTTTCAGGCTAGTCAGATGTACCAATGTACAGATGACTATTCTGTTTTTCCTCACTAACTATACTGTAACATTAAAATGGCTTAAAGAAATCCAAACTCTGTCTTTTGCTCTCTGACAAGTTACTAGTTCATAAGATTTTAAGCTGTGTATCCTACAGTGAAAATGCACAGCTCTGCTCTGGACATCCTCTCTAAGAAGTAGAAAGCTCCTAACTATGTATTGCACATTGCAGGGCTTTCTCATACATGTCTGGCAGATTTGCCCACATCTCCAGATGGGCTGGGTTGTGTAGCATCCCCACCCCCAAATATGGGATTTGAAATAAATACTACACAATAGTGGTGATAGATATATTACTTTTTAAAACTGTAAAGTAATTGTGGTCTCTAGTCCTAGGTTTGTGGTGTGTTCATTTGTATTAATGTGTAGGGAAGGGACACATTGACTTGGTGGTTATGGGGAGTGTATCTTGATATGTGTGCAGGGGTGAGTATTGCTAAACTATTAACAGCTTTTCATTTAGGGGTGAGTCACGTGATGAACGGCCCAATCAGAACAATGAAGGAACGAAGATGCAAGCTTTGCCAAGTGATGAAGTGAACAAGGTTTTGTATGTTTTTAATCAGGTGTTGTAAAATTTGTGCATGGCTTTTTTATTGTCGCATAGTAATTGGTAGAGGAAAAAACATGAGGGGAAAAAAACCTCAGCTTTGCTAACCAATTTTTTCAGAGGTACATAGTTGGGGAGTAAAATCTGACTGGCTTTAAGTGTTGAAAGTTTCCACTTTTATAATATTCATCCCATCCTGCAATCCTCCATGTAGAGGAACTAAATGGTTGTATTCTAGTAATTCACTGTGATTTATAAAAAACCAGTGATGTTATTCTATTGTGCACTTTTGTCAAACCATTTACGTGACTTTAATAAACTTAGTAAACTTGCTGACTGCACAAGAGGTCTCGTAGTGATTTATATATTGCATGACATTTTCTATTTGAATTTGACATGTGGAATCATTCTTAATTTCGTGGCAATTTATAGTCCTAATAGCTCGGCTAATTTGAAACTAACGAAATTGCTGTGTAAAAAGAAAACAATGGTGTTTGTGTTCAGTAAATGTTTGAAAAAAACAACAACCAAAACTACCTTGAAGTTTGTGTCTTTATTATCAGTGTGCCTTAGTTGAGCTGCTCTTTAGTTGAATTCATTTGAAAAAAGGTTGTCAGTTATACATATGTATGGGGGGAAACTTCAGATAGTAAAGAAAATTTAAATAGTTAAAGCAGGAAAATTCCCTTCCCATGTCTCTCTGCCTCCCATTTGGACTCTTCAAAGGTAATCGCCATAACTGGTTTTTTGAGTAGCTTCTCAGAACTTTTCTGTGCATATGTGTATTTATTTTTCTTTTCATTTTAAAAAATACACGTGGATTTTATCTTTCCTATTCTGCATCTTTTTTTTTTTTTTTTTAATTGACTTCAGAGTGGAAGGGAGAGAGAGAGAAACATCAGTGATGAGAGAATCATTGATTGGCTGCCTCCTGCACACCCCTCACTGGGGATCGGGCCTGCAACCCAGGCATGTGCCCTTGACCAGAATTGAACCTGGGACCTGTCAGTCTGCAGGCCGACACTCTAGCCACTGAGCAAAACTGTCTTGGGCTGTATCTTGTCTTTTTCAGCTATATCATAGACATTTTTATTTTTTATTTTGGTAAGTTTAGATATAAAAAACAACTTCATAGCAATTAATTCTATGGGTGGACCTACAATTTATTTAACCAGACTTTATTGTTGAACTTTGAGATTTTCAGATTATTTATATTCCAAATAATGCTTCAGTGAACATCCTAATATATTCTATTCATAGAACAAATTCATTACTAGCACTGGAGTTTCTGATTTAGTTACTGAGTATATAAAATCTTGTTAGAAGTTACCAAATTGCCTTCTATCTGCCTACACCTTTATTGACACCAGATATTACCTAATCAGTTAGTTTTTGTCAAGATGATTGATGAAAAATAGTATTTCATGGTTTTGATTTGTGTCCCTTTGTTATGAGTAAGGCTGACCTTTTCATGTATTTACTGACCTGTATGTTGCTTTTGGATTGTCTTTTTCTTGTTAAATTTTTTTTGAAAGTTTAAGGAAAATTTCTGTCAGATGTCACAGTTTATAGTTTGTTTTACTTTAAATATAGTAGTTTTTATAGCAGAAGTTTACATTTTTATGTAGCCAAATTTGTCTTTTATAATTTCCTTGTTGTAAGGTGGTTCCATCCCAAGATCATAAATCTTTTTTTTTTAAAAATATATTTTATTGATTTTTTACAGAGAGGAAGGGAGAGAGATAGAGAGTTAGAAACATCGATGAGAGCCTCCTGCACACCTCCCGCCAGGGATGTGCCCGCAACCAAGGTACATGCCCTTGACCGGAATCGAACCTGGGACCCTTCAGTCCGCAGGCCGACGCTCTATCCCCTGAGCCAAACCGGTTACGGCCATAAATCTTTTTTTAACCATGTTTTCTTCTAGTTCTTTACTGGCTTTTCCCTCCTACTTCTCTCCTTCCTCCTCCTCTTTCCCTCCTCTTCCTCTTCAGGTGGTTCATAAAGCTTGTTGGCAAGCTTAGATAAATCGTGTTTTCTAATCTGCCTGTGCTTTGTAAATTTGGTGTGCTTAGTCCATCCCAAGATCAGGAATGGGGTTTGCTCCTGCCTCAACAAGTGGGAATAGACTTGAAAATTAGCACTTACTAAGCACCTGCTCTGTGTCAGGCACTGTATCAGGGATGTGCATACACAAATAAGAAAGATGGTTCCTGCCCTTGGTAAGCTTGTCCAGCTAAATGCCCCTATTTGAAATCTGATTTTCTATTTTTCTTCAAATTTTAATTTAATTTCCCAAGTAAAATTTTATGATGTTACTTTTTTACTCTGGCTTGGGCCATCTTCTAAAACATTTCAGAAAACATCATCTGAGTTGCTGCTTGTTTTTTTATGTAGTACCAGGGAGATAAGAACAAAGAACATGAAAAACTGATAAGAGAGGGTGAGTCCATTAAGGAATGGTATTCCATTCTTTTTAAAACAAATATTTTTCTGCTCCTACCCTACTGTAAGCCTCATGAGTTTACTAAGTACATTTTAGACTATATCACATTGAAAAATTTCAGAGCTCAGGTACCAGGCTTCTAACACTCTTTACCCTAAACCTTCAAAGCTCTGTTCTGTTTCACTTTCTGTTTTGGAACATGCAGTCCTGCTTTAGTGTGATGTCAAAGCTAATGGAATAGACCAGCAGTTCTCAACCTGAGGGTCGTGACCCCTTTGGCGGTCGAACGACCCTTTCACAGGGGTCGCCTAAGACCATCCTGCATATCAGATATTTACATTATGATTCATAACAGTAGCAACATTACAGTTATGAAGTAGCAACGAAAATAATTTTATGGTTGGGTCACAACATGAGGAACTGTATTTAAAGGGCCAGAAGGTTGAGAACCACTGGAATAGACAGTGACACAAAAACAGAAGAGTCTGGTGATGTTAGTACTAATGTAAGGATAATTTGGGGATTTTTGTTAAGTAGTAGAAGTAGTGCTGAATAAAGGTCTGATATGACTTTAGCTAAAGATGAAAACAAAGGCCAATGTATTGTTGATTGGAAATGGGATCATTCACCGCTAATGGCAGTGTTAAGTCATCTGGTGGAGACCTGGCCATTCTTGTTTGGGGTGAGGTGTGGTTGCAGTGAGTCATGCCAGAAAAGCAGCATGAGTAAGCCAGCTGTTTCCAATATAGGCTGCTTGGCATCTTAGGGCTTGAAGCCAGTGGGACTGACTCAAGTCTAGGGTCTCCTTCTGGGAGCGTATTGACACTAAGAGCTCTTGAGTACTGATGGAGATAGCAGCTTGTATTTTAAAGACCTCTAGGAAAGGAGCTCCTCACCTCCCAGGAGCTCACCCACATTTGCCTGGGCAGTTACCCGTCCCCGCCCCCCCCCCCCCCCCCCCCCCCCGTTGTATTC